ATCATAAAAATTCAAAAACTACACTATGCTAGCCTGTACTAGTCTCATGCCCTCGCTTGTATCCCCAATAAGGAAAACAAAAACTAAAGGAATGAGCTAAAAGCCCAGTGAGGTTCCCAAACAAGTATTCAGGTATAGAAACCAGAGAAACGCTACACTTAACAATTTGCATATTATGCACAGTAATGTTTAGTCATTCAAGAAATAAACACTCAATCATTGGAAGGATATGTGCTCACTTGGAGCCATTCATTCATTCATTCGCCAACCATTTTCCTTATCCCTCCAACATTAAAAAATGTTTGCAAGTGAAAACTCCTTCAGTGATCTTGTCATTTATTCGTTGATATCATTGCTTGAATTCACTGGCCAGTTCTCCACTCGATTTCGTGGTAATACTCGAGTATACCAAAATACTGTCCCAGGGTCACCAGCCGCCCGACCAAATTCGCTTTTGGCTCGAGTCAGTTGGCAACAAAGGGCAAGGGCCCAGTTCAGCCAAAAGGCATACATTCATGCACAAGTAGCATTCAATCATTTAATCATTGAAAAATTTCACATTCACTTTGGTTGAGTGCGATAAAGTACACACTCGCCTATTGAAATTTCATTTAACAATCATTGAAAACATTTAACATTCAAGAAAACATTCACAACAATCCACATAGTCATTGGAAGCACAACATACAAAGAACACTCACCAGTTTAAGCAAAATAACGTCAAAAGTTTCCTTCCGGATTATGCCCTTGATCACCGACAAACCCTAAGAATAACTGTCGCGCCCCATTTTTGATAAATAAATAAATAGTTTAAAAAAATATATTTTTTGTGATTGGAAAATGATTTTTGTGAGTTGAAAAGACATGGGTCTCAATGGGACTTGGAAAGCGACGATTCGACCCAAAAAATAGTTTTAAAAAGGGTTTTGAAATGAAAAGTTTGGAGTCGCCACTTGGTAATGATTTAAGGTGTACCAAGTCACCTAAAAAATGAGTTTTAAAGTCAAGTAATAATAAACCCTTTTTAAAACGACTCCTAGTCTACGTAAAACAAAGAAAAAGGTTCGGGAGTCACGTTTGACAAAGGGGAAGGCAAGGATAGACTCCAAGGCACCCCTTTGACCTAACCAAGGCTAGTTGCGTGACTTAACCCTAACTTTCCTAACTTTCTACCCAGGGTATGTATTGCATGTTGGATTATGCCTATATGAATGCAAAAACGAAAAAATGCAATCCTAAATTCTATGATGTCTCTCGTGAGGTTTTTGGTCCCAGACCACATGAATTATGGCGGCCAATAAAGGGAAACCTCATAGAGGTCGATTGATGCAAATGGTGACTCAAGTGCAAGTGTGCAAGTGTGTGAAAAGATTCATGTATGAAATGGTGTAAAAAAAACAAAGTGTTTGTGTGCGCATGTGAAGAGAAAGTTCACGTGTGAATTTGGATGAAAAATCAAAGTATTAGTGTGTGAGTGTGTAAGGAAAGTGCACGTGTGAATTTGGATGAAAAATCAAAGTATTAGTGTGTGCAAATGAATGAAGATAGAATAGTACATATATAAGTGAAACTTGAATTTCATTTGTGAAGTAAATAAATGATAAAGATGTAGTGAAAAAATATGGATTGAGAAATGTAAGAGAAATGTGATTAAAAGAGTATGGAAGTGATAAAAATGAAAGTATGACCCTAGGGGAATGCAACAAGTCGGGTACGGGGATGACGACTAGTTCTTCGACTTTGATTTTCCCTCGGATTAGAAGGCGAAACTAGTGTGCTAAGGCTATCAAGTAGCCACACTCGCTCGTTTCCCTTATCGGAAGGGGATTTTCACGCAAATGAACCCTAACTAGCATGAGATGCAAGTCCTAAAGTGAAGGGGAAGGGGTTTTGAGGATCATACCAAATGATAAACTAAGGAAAAATGCGTGATATGTGGTGATCATGCACTTAATGAAAAAGGAAAAAAAAACCCTATGGGTCTAGCATTGGACTAGCCCATCCTATGAATTCCGACTAGCGTTGGACTAGTGGAAACGATAAAAGAAGCCACAACTAGCGTTGGACTAGTGTGGTGACGTACATTCATCCATTCCATTCATCCACACTATAAAAAGCGAGTAGACATGCGAATCACTTATAAACACGTAGCACATAACACTTAGCATGCTTGACTAGATGCAAAATCCTAATAAAGCATTTAACATATAACACATAGGCATGCAACCATTACATTTGCTAACTAAAACAAAAGGGAAAGGGAAAATGGACCAAATTACTTGCTACGCCCTATCTATTACAAGCCAAGAGGTGTACACATACCCCATTATAAGAATAACTTAATGAAAATAAAAAGTAAATGACATAAGTAAAAGGCATTAAAGAAAAGCTAGGAAAGCAAAGTAGACATGCAATTCACTTAGCACATTGAGTCACATAAGAGAAACAAAAAAGATAAAAGGAATTATACCGCTCCCTTTTGTAGTGTTAAATGGACGAGACTTAAACTGGGCTAAGTCACCAACTAACGGGATAACATGTGCTAAAACCATTCAAAGCAAAGGATTAACGCACCAATTTAATGATAAAAATGTAAATAAATCAAATGACATCTATCAAACCATCAAAAAGAAATTTCCTACTAAGGACTCAAACATAACCCTTACCCAAACATTCGAGTCAATCGAACATTTAAGAACTTTAAAGGTCCAAAACAAAGCAAGGGTCAAGCAATCAAACACATAAACATGGAATTGAACAATTAGAAGCGTTTAAATGCCTAAGATTTCCATATTCATGAAATAAAGACCCCAACTATTGATTGAATCATCAAAACATCCAAAATCCACACAAATGCACATTACCACATGAATCTAGATGAAGCTCTTGAAACCCTTTGAATTCATCCTAAAACCCCTTACCAATCTATCCAAGGGTCAGCCCAAAACATATAACCATCAAGTAAGATCCCAGAACGGCAAGGTTGATCAAATAATTCAAGTAATTGAGCCATGGTAGAACTAAAGTAGCCATGGAGGTTATGTTGCCGTTGTTTTAGGACCTAATTGCAAACACATGAAGTCATTCAAGTCCAAATGAAATGTTCAAGAGTCTCAAAGATTTCCAAACGATAGAATGCCAAACAACTGTTCAAAATTGCAATAAACTTAGAATTCAATTACAAACCAAAGACCCAAATGCAACCACTAATCTTATCAACAAAGTCAATTGAGACATCTTAGGAATTTTGAAAGTCCAAGAGCCAAGGAAGGTCAAGCAAGAGTTAAAATGCAACTATTTCATGACCCAATTGCAAGAATTTAGAGTATTGGTGGGCTTTTGTAGCATTATAGCAAAAATCACAGGGATCCAATTGAAGAAATTATTCTACTTGTTGGGTCATAGTAACATAAGGTGAAGCCAAGGGGCCAAAGGGCAATTTTCAGAATTATTTTGCATGCATGCAGACTAACGTAAGATAACATTCTGCAACCAAAAACAAACATTTCTGCAGCCAACAAAACAACGCAACTTGCATTCTCGCAAGCAAATATCAACCTCAACACTAATTTTTTTATCAAAAATCTTTCAACCAAACATTCAAAGCTAATCTAAGCATTATAACACACAATTTCAACATTCAAACCAACTCAAACGTAGAAGAAAATTCATGCCCATGCTGGAAAATTCTATGCAAAGAATTCGGCAATCAACTTCTTGCGACAGGTTTTCACAAATCTCTCAACTCAAAACTCAACCTCCAACTTTTATCGAAACTAATCATTTCCAGAGGCGTGAAAGAGAATGGCAGAACCAAAAATGATGAAGATGTTCATGCAAACAAAGATATGAACCAAGTTTTCTGCTACGAGACCAATTTGGCAGCTAGAGAAATTTTCTGGGTTCTTTATCCAACAAGAACATGTCATTTGTTTGTCAAACTCTAGACCCAAATACACAAAACCTTTGCATTCAAACACACAACTGCAACACCCGAACAAGCAAAGGAAAGAAAAATCAGAATTAGAACGGATCATGTAATTCTTCTTTGCTGATTTTTGTCTACAGCTTTGCAAGTTTCTGCTGCAAATTCGCAGCTTGTTAGCTACCCAGAAAAATGGCCAAAGTTATAAACAAAGCCCAAGGTGATCATGCAAACACGGTGAGGAAGCCCACCTTTGAGCTATTACGGGCAAAGATTGCAGAACAAATGACAAAAAGAAAAGAAACTGGCGGCAGCATGCATATCTTTCGCGCAACAGTTTTGTTTTCCCTTTCTCATTAAACATACACATCATACAAATGAATCCCAAGCTAGCAGAAAATGCACAACTCAACATTTTAATGCTGAAATCAAGGCATCAAGCTACACAAACAACTGCAAATCAGACCATGGACTCCAGGCTACGGGTAAGAACTTCAAGCTCCACGGCTGTAGCAGGCCAAAAATTATAAGCTTGTTGCAGCAGCGGATTTTATGTACAAAACTTCAACCAAGCACAATTTAAACCCAGACATTAAAATCATCAAACATTCCATACTTTGCAACATAGAACCTTCGGATTTAAACGTAAAGAATATGCAAGGCTAGAAATTTTCTGTGACTTCACAAATCGAAAAAGAAACTCTGCAACTTCCTCCCTACCATTTCAGCACACACGACACATTTATAAGCTTCCCAATGGAGCATACAGAACTCAAACTAATGTCCCAACAAAAGGCTCTAACACATCCATAAGACTATGACGAAACGCCAAAGAAAGAACGTGGAGACGGCAACAACTCAAATCTTCTTTTGAAATTCTGGTTTTGAAAAACTCTTGCAAAGAGAACCATTTCAATCCCTAACCCATTACTCAAGACTGACCCAAAGCTATAGCAAATAAACTCCAAAAGTTCAAGCAAAACCCAAATCATGAAAACAAGTAAGATACCAAGAACAGGGCTTGCAACCCATGAGTCACATTCATACGGAAAACATGAAAGCTAGCCACAACTAACTAATACATGAACCAGGGATGATTACGATGAACAGCCATACGAGAACCTATTTCTGTTTCTGATGAATCAGCGATGGTATCATCAAAACCAAAGAAAGCTTCTAACTTCACCATCAAACATCCCAAGTAAGCGAAAGAAACAGAAAAAGGAAGCATCTTTACCTGTAAAAATGAAAGGGAAGATGCGATTCAGCCTTGAGGTGTAGTACGCTCCAGCGGATGAACTGGATGTATTGCTTCGTTTAAGCAGACCCAAGGAGCAATGGAGACACTCAATCTTCCTTCGACCCTGCTTTATGAATCTTCCTTTTCTCCAGATTTTCTCGCACAGGCTCCTTCCTCTAAAGCTCTCTGCTTTTCCTTAATCAGCCGCTACCCAACTCTATAAACTCCCTCCAGATTTTTAGCCGTGCCCTTCTGTTTTTGTTTAGCCTCCAACCCCCCAGAAATTCTCTCTTCCTTTCCGTATGTTTTCTTTTCCTTTTAGCCGTCCACTCTTTTCCCACTAGCTCTCTCTCTCGATTGTCCTCCCTCTTTCTTCCTAGCTCTGCCCCTTTTCCCTCTTGCTCTCAGTTCTGCCGTTCTCTCCCAGATTTTCAGCCGTTCCTTTCTCTCTCCCCCTTACGGCTGAGCCTTCTTATCCATCTTATAACCACTTCCCAATCTCCTAAACCCTCACCTCAATGGTGAGGATGAAGGCTTACCTCTCGCCTTCATATCCAGCCATCCAATGGCTGTTGAGGCTGTCCTTTGCACGCTGCAAAAAATTGCAGCGTGCATGCCGCGACGTTGTTGTTTTTTTTTATTTTTTTTTATTTTTTTTTATTTTTTTAATTAATTAATTAAACAACAAGAATGATAATAATAAAACAAAAATAATGAATGATGAAAACAACTTAATTAACATTAGATAAAAATAAACTAAAAACAACAAAAAATGCAATTTTCCATTTTTTCATTTTTCTCATTTTTCACTTTTTTTTTAAAAAAAATAACTTAAAAATGCCAAAAAGCTGAATTTAAAAGAAATAAACATATTTTTGTGAACAAGTTTTCCTTTTTTCCTTTTTTTCATTTTTCAAATCCAACTAAAGCCTATTTATTTTTTTATTTTTTTTTTGAATTTTTCTTCTTTTTCTTCTTTTCCTTTAATTTTCTCTTTTCTCCCTTTTTTATAATTTTCATTTTCATTTTTCCTTCGAGAAAGCATTGAATAAAAACAAAATGACTAAAACATATTTTTGATGCTTTCCTTTTCTTTTTTCTAAAAACTCTATGCTAATCTTAAACTTAAAAGCTAAAACTAAAAACTAAAACTAAAAGTAAATAAGAATAAATAGCAAATGAAATAGGTCAACTAAAAGGGCGAAAATGAATAAAACCAAAATATCATAACAACTAATAGTGCAAAACACACAATAACGAACTAAAATGCAAGCAATCTAAAATAAAAATCATGAAATAGATGCTACATAAAATTATTCAAAATTTAGTGTCTACAGTTTGCCCCTCTTTGTCTGAGTTTTGAAAAAACTTGAGACAAAGAATTAGACACCAAATACTTACCTGTGTTATTGGGCTGCAAAAGATTCCAGTGAACAGCAATTCTAATACGGGACTGACCCGAACATGAAAAATAAAACGGGACTGACCCGAACCAGAATTGAAAACAGGACTGACCCGAACAGAAATTTAAAACGGGACTGACCCGAACAGAATTTAAACGAGACTGACCCGAACATGAATTTAAACGAGACTGACCCGAAAATAAAACGGGACTGACCCGAACAAGAATTGAAAAACGGGACCCGAACAGGAATTTAAACGGGACTGACCCGAACGGGATTAGAATTTAAAATGGGACTGACCCGAACAGAAATTTAAAACGGGACTGACCCGAACAGATTTAAACGGGACTGACCCGATTTTTGACCCGAACGGGACTGACCCGAACGGGACTGACCCGAGAATTTAAAACGGGACCCGAACAGAATTTAAACGGGACTGAACAGAATTTAAACCGAACAGGAATTTAAACGGGACTGACCCGAACACTGAACAGAATTTAAACGGGACTGACGGGACTGACCCGAACAGGAATTTAAACGGGACTGACCCGAACTGACCCGAACAGGGACTGACCCGAACAGGAATTTAAACGGGACTGACCCGAACAGAATTTAAACGGGACTGACCGAACAGAATTAAACGGGACTGAAACAGAATTTAAAAAAGGACTTCACTGGGAAAGTTTAAACAATGAATTGAGTTTTTTTTTTTTTTTTTTACCTGAGAATAGTTCAACTTTTACACCAAGAAGGAAATTTGGATCTTTGTGATTGAAGCGAGAGCTGATGTTGTTTCTTGTGATCGAATTTTGCAAATAACATCGATCCTTGCTTACTGGGAAGCTTTGTCTGTCATTGATTTAGGCGCCAAAGAGAGAGCGGCTGCTTTTGCTTGTAAATGCAACATTCCTGCAAGAAAAGAAGAATTAATGGACTTGCCACCATTATTTGATCCGGTTTGCCTTGAGAATCGTGTAAACATGAGTCTTGTGATGCTTTTACTTCTGCTTTGCGACGTTTACCTTAGTCGAACTTGAAACCTTTCAAATTCTGAAACTGATAAAATACGGATTTACCACGTCATCCAATCCAGGTGGTAGCTTTGTTGCATGTTACTCACTGTAACTGATGATTGAATCCCTTATCTTTGCCCAAACCTTAGGATTTATAATTCATTTGAATTCAATGGTGAAAGAATGATGCGTGAAAATTTATCACATAACAATCAATGTATACGCAAGATTATTTCCTATGTCAGGCAAAGATGAGCATGCAAAAGAATGTAGACAATCATAAGCAGTTATACACAAATAATTGAGAACAACTACAAGGTTTATAAAGATACACTTTGCAAAGAATATTTGTAAAAAAACAATACAAGTTTAGCCAACGAATATCATATTCAAAACTTTGGATATTTTCTCTTCGGAATCCGATACTGGCAGAAGTATCACAATTATGCGGAGAACCCTAATGAACCAGGTCACCAGCTGTTCCTTCCTGAGCTCGACTGTTAAGAACACCTACCTTGGCGCCCTTTCGGGTTTTCACCAAGATTGCCCCCACCTTTTTTTTTCTCTTTCTTTTTTCTTTTTTTTTCTTTTTCTTTTTCGAGGCGCCCTTTCGGGTTTTCACCTAAATATCTCGACCATGATCGGCTCAGAAACATGAATTAAAGATTTCTGGCATCAGTAAAAATGTACTTCCCTTGTAAAATTAGGCGAAGACATTACGGACATCACCTGCCAGTTGATTAACAAATTTTCTAATAGAAATGCAGCAAGTGACGAAAGCCAGGACTTTGGGCTTTTATAATAAGGTCCGGTAGGGTGCTTTGAAAAAAGTTGAGGCTTGAAAGCAAATTTTGATATAAGAGGTGAAATAACTTGAGATTGCACTTTTTTGAAAACAACTCCAAAACTGAGGAAAATTTGCCCCAGTTTGATCGAATTTTCTCTCTTTGCATTTTTCATCACTTTTGCATTTTTCTTTGAAAACTAAATTTGCCCCAGTGTAGGGTTTTCTCTTCCCTCTTTTTTCTTTTCCTTTTTTTTCTTTTCCTTCTTTTCTTTTTCTTCTTTTTCCAAATAAATTTGCCCCAGTGTGGGGTTTGCAATTCTCAAAGGTTATCAAACGAAATTTGTCAATTCTGATGGCTCAAAGGGGACAAGTAGAGATAAAATGTTTTTAGTGTAAAAGAAGATGGCCTGACTTGCATTTCGCCATTTGCATGAATTTCTTAAAGAAAATTTGCATGATCAAATGAAAAACTTTTTGCACATATCTGAGTTGATGGGTTGAGGGAATGCCCGTCCATCCATTTCCGCCAAGATGAGCGCTCCGCCAGGTAATACCTTTTGGACAATGAACGGCCCTTGCCAATTTGGAGCAAATTTGCCTTTAGCTTCATCTTGCATTGACAGAATCCGCTTCAGTACCTTATCACCTTCTTCAAATGTCCGCTGATGGACCTTTTTGTTATAAGCCCGGGCCACACGTTTCTGATAGCACTGACCATGACAGATGGCGTTGAATCGCTTTTCATCTATCAAAGTCAATTGCTCATGGTGCTGCTTGATCCAATCAGCCTCTTCCAATTTAGCTTCCATAAGGATTCGTAGCGACGGAATTTCAACCTCAGCTGGTAATACCGCTTCCATCCCATACATGAGTGAATACGGCGTTGCCCCAGTTGATGTCCGGATAGAAGTCCGATACGCCATTAATGCATAAGGCAACTTTTCATGCCAATCGCGATGCTTTTCTGTCATTTTGCGAATAATTTTCTTCAGATTCTTATTTGCGGCTTCTACATCTCCATTCATCTGAGGCCTATAAATGGCAGAATTGCGATGTTTGATTTTGAATTGCTCACATAGTCCATCTACCATGTCATTGTTCAGATTCCTGGCATTGTCTGTGATAAGTGTTTCGGGTACTCCAAATCGACAAATGATATGATCTCTCAAGAAATTGGCAACCACCTTCTTCGTGACATGTTTGAATGACTCCGCTTCAACCCATTTGGTAAAGTACTCGATTGCCACCAATATAAATCGATGTCCATTTGAAGCAGGAGGATCGATTGTATCAATCACGTCCATACCCCACATTGAACAGGGCCACGGGGCGGTCATGCTATGCAACTCAGTGGGTGGAGCGCGTATAATGTCACCGTGCATTTGGCATTTTATACATCTCCGGACAAAGTCTATACAATCATGCTCCATAGTAAGCCAGAAGTATCCGGTTCTCATGATTTTCTTCGCCAGCAAATGGCCATTCATATGAGGTCCACAAACGCCACTATGCACTTCTTTCATCATATATTGAGTTTCATCCTCATCAATGCACCTTAAAAGGTTCAGATCCGAGGTTCTTTTGTATAACACCTCTCCATTTAAGAAAAATTTTGAAGCCATTCTACGCAGAAAACTCTTGTCTTTTATACCAGCACGCTGAGGGTAGGACCCAGTTTTGAGAAACTCTTTAAGATCATTAAACCAAGGAGTAGTATCCGAGGACTCGTCTGCAGCCCAGCAGTGGGCTGGCTTGTCTTGAAGTTGAATTTGGATTGGTTCAATCTTCAATTCATCTGGATATTGGATCATAGAAGCCAAGGTGGCCAAAGCATCAGCAAATGCGTTTCGGGCTCGTGGAAGATGTCTGAACTCCAAATTTCGAAACTGCTTGGCCAAAGTGAGCAGACTACAATGGTAGGGTAGAATTTTTGAATCTTTGGTTATCCATTGCTTCAAAGTTTGGTGCACGAGCAAATCTGAATCACTAAAAGCTATCAACTCCTTGATTTCCATCTCCAAAGCCATTTCGAGACCAAAAATGCAGGCTTCATATTCAGCCATGTTATTTGTGCAAGCGAATTGCAATTTGGCAGCGGCAGGGTAATGCTTCCCTTCGGGTGACACCAAAACAGCTCCAATTCCAGCTCCGAGAGAATTCGAAGCTCCATCGAAGAAAAGCCTCCATTCAGGACTTTGTTCACTTATATCATCTGCAGCGCCTACAAATAGGACCCTCTCGTCAGGGAAATAAGTACGGAGTGGTTGATAATCATCATCCCTTGGATTTTCCGCCAAATGATCAGCTATAGCTTGCCCCTTGACCGCCTTTTGTGAGGTGAAAACAATATCGAATTCTGAGAGAATTATCTGCCATTTCGCCAAACGCCCAGTCAGCATCGGCTTCTCCAAAAGATACTTCAAAGGATCAGACCGGGAAATAAGATACGTGGTATGACTCAACAGATAGTGTCTCAACTTCTGGGCTGCCCAGGCCAATGCACAGCAGCTTTTCTCAATGAATGAATAATTAGCCTCGTACTGCGTGAACTTTTTGCTTAGATAGTAAATGGCTTGTTCTTTCCTTCCAGAGTCATCGTGCTGACCTAGAACACACCCTACTGCTCCTTCAAGCACGGATAAATACATAATCAAAGGTCGGCCCGGTTTGGGCGGCACTAAGACTGGTGGATGCAACAAATAATCTTTAATCTTGTCAAAAGCCTGTTGGCACTCCTCATTCCAATACAACGGCACGTTCTTCCTCAATAATTTGAACAACGGCTCGCATGTGGCAGTTAGTTGGCCAATGAACCTCCCGATAAAATTGATCTTCCCTAAAAAGCTTTTCACGTCCTTCTGAGTTTTTGGCACTGGCATGTCTCGAATTGCTTTGATTTTCGCCGGATCTATTTCTATGCCCTTCTTGCTAACAATGAATCCCAACAGCTTACCCGCAGGTGCTCCGAAGGCGCATTTCGCAGGATTTAGCTTTAAATTGTACTTCCGCAACCTCTCGAATAATTTCTTCAGATCAACCAAGTGGTCCTCTGCCCTTTTAGACTTGATTATAATATCATCCACGTAGACCTCCATCTCCCGGTGGATCATATCATGAAATAGGGTTGTCATGGTCCTCTGATACGTTGCTCCAGCATTCTTTAAACCGAAAGGCATGACTCGGTAGCAAAAGGTACCCCAAGGGGTAATGAAAGCAGTCTTCTCCCTATCCTCCTCTGCCATCAAAATTTGGTGGTAGCCAGCAAAACAATCGCAAAAGGTTTCAATCTCATGTCCGGCCGTATTGTCTAAGAGAATGTGAATATTTGGTAGAGGGAAATCATCTTTAGGACTGGCTTTATTAAGGTCTCTATAGTCAACACAAACTCTCACCTCTCCACTCTTTTTTGGAACAGGGACTGGATTTGAAAGCCAAATTGGGTAATGGGAAACAATGATAATGTTGGTTTTGAGTTGTTTTTCAATTTGCTCTTTTATTTTGAGGCTTATATCTGGTTTGAATTTTCTGGGTTTTTGTTTTACGGGTGAAAAAGAAGGGTCTGTGGGCAATCTATGCACTACCACATCAGTTGAAATGCCAGTCATATCATCATAGGACCACGCAAATACATCCTGGAACATGGTCAAGAATTCAAGCATCTCCTTTTTCTGCCTTTCATTCAAATGAATACTTATCTGCACCTCCTTAACTTCATCCTCAGTGCCAATGTTAACCTTTTCTGTTTCTTCCAGGTTCAGTTTTGGTTTTTCCTCATATTGTTCAAGGTCCTTTGCAAAAGAATCGAATACCTCCTCATTATCACTCTCGCTTTGGAGTTCGGATTCACAGACCTCCAAGTCGTGAGTGATATAGAAATTGCCATTATCGTATTCCAGAACTGTGATATCCAAAGGGTCAAATAATTTTATTTTTGGCCATCTGAAAGAATTAAAGAATGTGGGATAATAAGCAAATAAGCATACAACAAACAAATGAACAAGCAATATGAATTTAAACAAGCGAATAAACAACACAACATAACAAGAACAAACTTGTGCATTTTCATAAAACCTTTGATTGAAAGCAAAACAAAAGAAAGCAAGCGGAAACAATATCTACATGTGCAAATTTTAGTCAAAAGTAAAGATGCTTTCATTAACTATTTACAGATGCAAAAGTATTTTTTCCATGAATATGAATGATAAACCCCTTTCATTTTACCGAAACTCCTTCCGGACGGGCAGGGACTCGGCTGTCCAATTGGGAATTGATCCTTCGGGGATATCAGGAAATTCAGCTTTGCCTGGAACACTATCTTCAAATGTTGCCCCTACGAACAATTGGGCCAAACTAGTTTCAATTTCTTCAACTGGATTAACCTCTGATGTGATAACCTCTGTTGGTCGTGGAAAAGTATACCGCAGTGGTGGAATGTCAAAAACCCTTTGCCTGCCCTCTTTCTCTGCTCTTTTGCGCTCCTTCATCTCTTTGATGTCCTTGGCGGTTGGTTGGAAACCCAAACCGAATGTATCCCTTTTTTCCATAATCTCCACTGGCTTCAGGATCCCTTGCAGTTCACGCCCCAATCCTCTGTCTAATTTGTATCCTCCACGAATCATTTCCTTAGCCATCATTACACTTGCTTTTGAGAGAGCTTGTTCCTCCGTTGTGATCCAACTTACGGAAACTATATCGGATGTGCTATGAGGGGACATGGTGGCACTTCGACATCCCTCCTCTTTAGATCCAGAATTGGTGATTACCAGGCAGTCCTCTTCGGCAAAGATAGTGATTAGCTTGTCATTTACTACGAATTTCAGCAATTGATGCAACGAAGATGGCACAGCCCCAGACTTGTGAATCCATGGCCTGCCAAGTAAAATATTGTAAATGCTCGAGAAGTGCATTACTTGGCAAGTTATTTGAAATTGGGCGGGCCCCATCTCGATTACTAAATCTGCCTCTCCTATCGGCTCCCTTTGAGCTCCATCAAACCCTCGAACGATAGTCCCTGAACGCCTCAGCTTAATGTCTTGCAATCCTAGCTTCTCCAAGGTACTCCAAGGACAGATATTAAGCGCGGACCCGTTGTTAATTAGCACCTTCGGCAGCATTTTCCCGTTGCACCTCACCGTTATGTACAACGCCCTATTATGTCCAATGCCCTCTGTCGGCAATTCATCGTCAGAAAAAGCAATTTGTTTGTTGAATAATACGCTCCCAACCACGTTTGAAAAATTATCAACAGAGATGTCCCTCAGAATTTGAGCCTTAGTTAATACGTCGATCAATGCATCCCTATGCACGTTTGAAGAGAAAAGTAAATCCAACATGGTTATCTGGGCAGGTGACTTGCTTAGCTTTTCGATTATGTTGTATTCACTTCTCTGGAGTCGTTTAAGGAAATCCACGGCTTCTTTCTCGGTGATTGTTGGCTTAATGGGCGGCTCGGAATTCTTTGCTTGAATCGGAATAGTAGTTTCAAATGGACTTACAGTCCTCCCCGATCTGGTAACCACTGACACCTCTTTCTTTGTAGCTGAATTTTCCCCGATCTGTATAATAGGTTCATCGTAATTCCACGGCACTTGTTGCAGGCTCAAAACAGGCTCTTGCCTCGGGAATTCGATGAATACCGGCTTCAAAGCTTCACTCTCTGCTGGCGTGAGATCCAAGACAAAAGGCTGGTTATCTTCTTCGAATGGCAACTCTATGATGAATGGTTGGTCTGTGACCCCAACTACCTCAGCTTCTCTTGCCAAATCTTTGACTTGTTCCATATACTCCGTGTCATCCATAATGACCCCAATGGTATTAACATTGTCCGGCAAAGGGTTCCTATTTACGTTCGGCCCTTGCGCCTCCCTTTTCCAGATTACAATCTCCCCGGGTTCAACCATATCTTGGATTTTATGTTTAAGCGCCTTGCAATCAAAGGTGGCATGTCCGGGGGCCCCCGAATGATAAGCATAGACAGCTTGTGGATTATACCACGCGGGCATGCCATATGGGTAGGTAGGAGGGGGCACCGTACCAATTTTCCCAGCAGCCTTTAATTGTTCATACAATTGATCCAGAGGCCTGCCTAGGTTGGTAAATGTACGGCCAGGGGGTCGGTTGTAAGGTTCAGAAGGTTGAGGGTGGTTGTAAACAGGTCTATTTGGAGGCGGGAATCTTGGGTTATATGGAGGGCGTGGTCGGTTTTGGGGTGGATTTGGTTGAGAAATTTGAAAAGGGGCTGAAGGTGGGTTTGGATAGCTTGGGCGAGGTCGAGGGTGGTGGATGTTGGTAGTATATACAGGGCGCGGATTTGAGTAGTAAGGGTAATGGGGTTGGTAGATTGGATTGTGTTGGTATCGGGGTCTAGGTGAAGGGTTTTGGTTCCAAATAAAGGTTGCGTCCCCCTCTTTCTTTTTGAACGGCGGCTTCTTCACATTGCTTCCTTGCCCTTGTTGTAAAGCATCCAACTGAGATTTAAGGGCGGAGACATTGACAATCTTCCCAGCTCTCACAAAGTCATCAAACTCCTCAAGTTTATTTACAATTGCAGCAAACGAACATCCGGTCATACGGAAAATCTCTTCGAAGTACGGCGGATCATGGGCTTTTATGAAAGTACGTATGATTTCATCCTCGGTCATTGGTGGCTCGACCTTGGCAGCTATTTTTCTCCACCTCTTGGCATAGGTCTTGTGGTCCTCGGAAGGCTTCCTTTTCGTTCCTTCTAACGTAGTTCGGGTCGGAGCCAACTCGCAGTTGTACTCGTACTGTCTCACAAATGCATTAGACAAATCAATCCAGGTTTTCACGTCTTCAAGTTTCAGGTTAGAATACCAGTCAAGCGCATCCCCTTCCAGACTCTCGGGGAACAACCTTAAAGGCAAATTCTCATCGTCCACGGGCTTTCCCAATTTGTTGGCAAATAGTCGGAGATGTGTCTTGGGATTACCCGTCCCATCATATTTGTTAAATTTAGGGGTTTTGAACCCCTCAGGCAACTGCACGTTCGGAAAAAGGCACAATTCATCATAATCCAGGACTCCCTGCTTATGCAACCCCTGGCTCTTCCTTATAAATTCATCAAAACGATCTAGACGTTTGAGCAACTTCATATCAATTGGAGCAGAAGATTCACCCATTTCAGGCTTATTTTGGAAAGTGTGCTCCGGTATCACGGGTTCTGCGGTGGTTTGATAAAAAGCTGGTGGGTTCTGATGCATGTTTGGGTCGATTTGAGGCTGAAACCCTTGCCCATAAGGAGGATAGAATGGAGGATTTTGAGTATAAGCATATTGCGGGTTGACAATTCCCTCAAACGTGGTTTGCATTGAAGGAATAACAAATGGTAACGTGGTCTGGCTGGGAGGAATAACAAATGGTTCAGATTGTGGTTGTGTGGCGGGCACAGGCTCAGGTTGCACTCCGCTACTAACGAGTTCGTCGATTAACCTCTTTTGAGCGGCCATTTCGGATGCCATTTCCCCAAATTTTGCGAGTAATTCAGTCAACTGAACCCCAGGACTTGCGGCCTCCGGCTGGGTAGTTGCAACGGCCTTATCGGACGATTCTGGCTGAGTGCTCATGTCTACACGATTCCTTTGGGCCTTACTTCGGGATCGCGTAATAATGGGGCTTTTCCGAAAAGCTATTTTGAAATTTACCTGAGAATGCAAAAGACTTCTTTAGATAAACCAATGATTACTGAATTTCTGCAATTTATTCAAAAGAGAAAAAGAAAAAGAAAAAGAAAAAGACATGAGTTAGTAGCTATTCGAACAATTCGGATGCATGTCCTAGTTGGGGAACCCTTTTTGTGCCAAGGGTAGGCCTAGCATGATGCAACACTTTCGGAATGAGACCCATTAATCAAACCTGTTATTTGACAAACACTTTGTGAAAAGAGATTCATTTCATTGCAGAAACCAAATACATCTGTTTACATCATATCGCGAAGGCGATTTCGTACAAGATCACCAAAGTTCCTAAGTCTATCCAACACAGAGTCTTTACTTTCTCTAGCATATGGCATCTGGACACGGTCGGCTTGATCATATAATTCCCCACATTTCCGCTTCATCTCTTGGCGCCTTTCTCGCTCCTTCTCATATAACCTCTTGTTTTCTTCTGCCTTTCCTTTGTGCACTTCGATGGATTTCTTTAACTGTACCACCTCCATGTCCTTGGCTTTAATGATGGCTCTCAGCTTCTCAATTTCCTCATACGGCTCATGTTGCAACCCTTGCGTGGTGGAATCTTTCAACCAATCCTCGTATGGTGCGGTCATTACCCCCTTCTGTTTGAGCTCCGGAAGATAACGAATGCTTCTATTGTCGGATATTGTTCTCCAAGATTCAGTGATTTGGCTCTTCATAGGGATCTCTTTTGGGCATACCCCCTGATCAAAGAAAATGGTGACTTCACTAAACTCGGAAATCGGTGGCGGCCCCTGAATGCGACCTAGTTGTCTGAGAAATCTTTTCGGGGTATATGAGATGATTCCTTGAGTACCCAGCAAAAGAACACGTTCAGATTCCTTAGTGCGAAGTATCGGCTCAAAGCAGTCTGTCCAATCTAATACCCACCTAATGTTGAAATCTTGCAATGTTTCCAAGTAATCCACGCATTCGGATGCGTTCTTAGGTAGATCTCCCTCGTTGACTCTTTTGGGATGTGTGATTACCCAATTATATCCAACCATCGGCAAACTATCAGCAACTGATGCTTGTCTCTTAAAATGTTCCGTAGCCCATATGTATAAAACCAAGTTCGCCCCATGGAAAAACTTTTCTCCCTTTCGACAACCATTACAAGCTAAGAAAATATCTGCGAGAATGGTCGGGACTATAGAACATTGCTTACCCTGAATTCCTAAGAAAAGGTCATTCACAATTTTTGCTGATTTGAAGGCTATCTTTTGATCTTTTCGCGGAAAGAGATAGGTCCCAGCCATAACTACCCCATATACTAGTAGCCTTTTGCGCTCCCATACGGCTTTGGAAGTGAACACAAAATCCGTCACATGCCTCTCGAATCCATCGCGTGGCGCAAATCGTTCAAACAGAATATTCACGGCGACGCCCTGATCTGACCCTCGTAGCACGGACTCTTTCAATCCTATAATTTGACAAAATTCGACCTTGTCGGAAGCAAATGGAAATACCAAGGCAGTTCCTCGTGTGGGTAAACCAAAGAGGCCAGCTACTTCTTCGAGTGTTATAGTCATTTGCCTATTGCCTATTCTAAAAGCAGTACACTCAGGGTCCCAAAGATGAACTAAAGCCTCTACCAAATAATTGTTGGATTTGATCTGCTTAAAGTCTCCAATTGGTCCTAAAAATTGGGCTACTTGATTCAGTTCACTAGGTAACATGAAGGTAGGCCATTGTTGAACCTCAGTTGATGGTATTAACAACTGGTAGATGCGGCGAGGGCAAGCCATCTGATAATGAAGAAGGTAGTTTGTCAATTACCTTACCTACGAGTCTCATTCCTCCAGTTATGCGATAATTTAAACGTGCAGTCCCTTGAAGGGTTAAATACCCATGGGACACAAAAGGGTTGGTTTTATTCCTAAAACGGGATTCCCTACGTGGCGTTCCCTTTCTAGGGTTTATGCATGATGCTATTTTATTAAAACAATAAAATATGCAATTTGAAATGAAACATGACCTAAGGAACCCTTTATTTGCCAGGGTAGGCCTAGAATGATTTGCAATCATTAATCTACGAATGCAATATACCAAAATCTTTAAACGTGCAATAACCTATCTACAAGGGTAGGTTCTAAAAGAAAGTCATGCCAGACCTCTTATTTCCTAATGTTTGTGAATACAGAAGACAAGAGACAAGGAAACGTGAGTTCAACACATAATCACATAACACATTTGGACAAATAGATAAGGCAATAAAGATAAATAAGGAAAGAGGGTTGGGACCCCTCCCCTCGTGAATAGTGTCCCTAGTTCAGGATAAGGCTGACTCTACCCTAGGCAATTCTAATATGGATGCATGAGGCTTGGCTTACTAATGCATCTAGACTCGATAGGTCATAGGCCCCCGAGCCTTCAGACTTAGAAACCAAGGGTCATCAATCCCAAGGTTCTTCGTCGGTGGCTCGAGCGATTCCCCAAACACCGCTACGCACACATCGTGTCACGGCTACGTGTTTGAGTGAATCTATCAAAACCTCAATCTTCGACCAAAAGCTAAAGGCTATCAACCAATAGCTTTAAGCGGAAGATTGAGTGACCCATTGGAACATGCTACACACACATCGTGTCGTGATCACATGTCCAAGTGAGTCACCTAATCCTAATAGGGTGGAGTGGCGTGACAAGCCACTAAAGAAAAATAAAAGGGATAAGAGAAGTAAAGCGTATGCTCGTATGCTAGTGCTCGTTTGGAGGGGAAGGGTCAAGAACCAACGCGAGGCTCTAGGGTGACCCATACCTCCCAAAATGCAATGCAAGCGCGAGATAACAAATAAACATTCATTCAAACATACATTCGTGAGTCGAGGGATTGGTTTGATTACGTATATAAGACAAAAGGTCCTAAAAAATGAAAAATGCAATCCTAATATCCACATGCCATGCATAGAAAGGGTAGAAAAAGGAAACGAATGGTTAAGTCAAAATGCTTGGACCCACTTAGGAAGTCCCCAGTGGAGTCGCCAACTGTCGCGCCCCATTTTTTGATAAAAAAAAGAAAATTGTTTGAGAAAGATGTTTTTGATTCAATTTTGATTGGAAAATGATTTTTGCGAGTTGAAAAAGATATGGGTCTAATATGGGACTTGAAAAAGCGACGATTTGACCCAAAAAATAGTTTTAAAAAGGGTTTTGAAATGAAAAGTTTGGAGTCGCCACTTGGTAATGATTTAAGGTGTACCAAGTCACCTAAAAAATGAGTTTTAAAGTCAAGTAATAATAAACCCTTTTTAAAACGACTCCTAGTCTACGTAAAACAAAGAAAAAGGTTCGGGAGTCACGTTTGACAAAGGGGAAGGCAAGGATAGACTCCAAGGCACCCCTTTGACCTAACCAAGGCTAGTTGCGTGACTTAACCCTAACTTTCCTAACTTTCTACCCAGGGTATGTATTGCATGTTGGATTATGCCTATATGAATGCAAAAACGAAAAAATGCAATCCTAAATTCTATGATGTCTCTCGTGAGGTTTTTGGTCCCAGACCACATGAATTATGGCGGCCAATAAAGGGAAACCTCATAGAGGTCGATTGATGCAAATGGTGACTCAAGTGCAAGTGTGCAAGTGTGTGAAAAGATTCATGTATGAAATGGTGTAAAAAAAACAAAGTGTTTGTGTGCGCATGTGAAGAGAAAGTTCACGTGTGAATTTGGATGAAAAATCAAAGTATTAGTGTGTGAGTGTGTAAGGAAAGTGCACGTGTGAATTTGGATGAAAAATCAAAGTATTAGTGTGTGCAAATGAATGAAGATAGAATAGTACATATATAAGTGAAACTTGAATTTCATTTGTGAAGTAAATAAATGATAAAGATGTAGTGAAAAAATATGGATTGAGAAATGTAAGAGAAATGTGATTAAAAGAGTATGGAAGTGATAAAAATGAAAGTATGACCCTAGGGGAATGCAACAAGTCGGGTACGGGGATGACGACTAGTTCTTCGACTTTGATTTTCCCTCGGATTAGAAGGCGAAACTAGTGTGCTAAGGCTATCAAGTAGCCACACTCGCTCGTTTCCCTTATCGGAAGGGGATTTTCACGCAAATGAACCCTAACTAGCATGAGATGCAAGTCCTAAAGTGAAGGGGAAGGGGTTTTGAGGATCATACCAAATGATAAACTAAGGAAAAATGCGTGATATGTGGTGATCATGCACTTAATGAAAAAGGAAAAAAAAACCCTATGGGTCTAGCATTGGACTAGCCCATCCTATGAATTCCGACTAGCGTTGGACTAGTGGAAACGATAAAAGAAGCCACAACTAGCGTTGGACTAGTGTGGTGACGTACATTCATCCATTCCATTCATCCACACTATAAAAAGCGAGTAGACATGCGAATCACTTATAAACACGTAGCACATAACACTTAGCATGCTTGACTAGATGCAAAATCCTAATAAAGCATTTAACATATAACACATAGGCATGC